AGTTATATTTATTGGTTAATTAGCTCAATATTATATTTTGAGCAAGTAGTTAGGAAACTAACATGTCCATAAAAGAATTTAGGTGATTAGCATAGAGAAGATATAGTTAGACAAATTTGTCCATATTAAATTTAGTAATTATTGCTGGTAATAAAATTTCATAAAAATTAGTGGTTAATAAAATTTCATAAAAATTGCTTTTACATTATCTCTGAAAAAAGTAGATTTGAAAAAAAAAAGATCACAAAAAGTATAACTGTTTCGAAATTACATACTTAACTAATTTAAAAACGTAGTTAACTACATCACACTATTTGTAACTATTTACAAATAGTTAATTATTTTCAGAAAATATCACATTAAATTCTATTTATTTTGTAACATAGTTGACTATATGAAAATATTATTTTAATAGTTACTTATTTAAACAAACATAATTAACTACGTTCATAGCATAGTTACATATTACAGTTTTCATAATGAACTAGTTAACTATTATCAGAAAGATAGTTACATATTATTATAATGAAAAAATAACATACATAGCTAACTATTATCAGAAAAGATACCTATTATATAACATACATAGTTAACTATTACAAGAAACATAGTTACCTATTCTAATTTTAAAAAATAACATACTTAATTAGTTAACTATTATCAAAAATATAGTTACCTATTATACTGATTTGTTAACATAGTTAACTATGTCGATCTCTAACGATGGTTTAGTTTGATCAAGAGATGAGAAGATGGTGGAGAGTTAAATGAATGAGAATAAACATCATCTTAATCTATGATTGGATATTTCGATATACAACAATGAAATAAAAAAAAATATAGAAAAAAGTGACACTACAAGAAAACAGAAAGTTAGTGACTCCCAAAAGAGTCACACATTCGTCACAAAGACCTCACTTGCGACTACTGTGCGACAAAAAGAGGTAGTCGCTAAACATTCGTCGCTAATTTTTAGATTAACGCATGCGTCGCAAATTTGCGACGCCTTTGCTTCCATTAGTTGTAGTCAGTAATTTATGACTACTTTGAGACGTTAATATAGAGTAGCAAATTAGCGACTAATTCGTGACACCACAAAATTTACGACTACTTAATTACTGATATTATCGTCTTTAATTTATGACTAATTTATTGCGACACTTTCGAGACTACTGTGTGAGTCACGAATGATTATTTGTAGTCGCATAATAGTCACTAAAGCATTAGAAATTAATGACTATTTGACGATGCTTTAAATTGTTTGGCCACGAATGATCAGATGTAGTCGCAAGTTAGTCACTAAAGCGTCACGAATTACCAACTACTTTGCGACGCTTTCTATATTTTTGTCACGAATGATCAGATATAGTCGCATGTTTGTCACTTTAGCGTCACGAATTACCAACTACTTTACGACGCTTTAAACTGTTGGGTCGTTAAAGTGTAGCATATGTGGAACTATTTTCTGACTTAAACACAATACCTAAACCTGTATAAAATTGTGTTGTTTCCCGAATCTAAAACTAAAACTACAATAGACAGCTAATATATAAACATTGTACACATAAGGTTTTCATGATTGAAAGCTTGACAAAAGAAGTTAATTATACATAACCAAAAGTGCCATAAACTTGTTTGTTCAAACAAAAAACAGAAACTTAGAGAAGGGATAAAAAGAATCCATCAAGTGTTGTGATTTGCATGAGGGACTTGAGTTGAGCAGTCTCAATCCATGGTCGGTTGTTGAGTTGAGTCCAAGTCAGGGGGTTGAGACATGTATGCTGTGATCCGCGGATTGTCCTTCTTCAAAAACGAGAGAAGCTTCTCCAGTTCAGATACCCGAGCATGTCTTTGCCTTAGCTCCTTTAGCTCCTCATCACGTCGCTTATTCTCCTCATCATGCTCAGCTAGCTTACGACGAGCAGATTTAAGCTCTTCTTGCATCTCTGCTAGTTCAGGTACATGAGAGGTTTCATAGCTTATCTTCTTCTTCCCTTTGTTGAACTTCTGAGATAGTCCACCTATTCCAAAAGGATTACCCTTTTGATCGAATTCAGTACACTACAACAACAAACAAAACATATTCAATGCAAATCCAAATCCAAGTATTCAATGCAAAACATATTCAACATAACAAGCAAGTTTACAATTAACTATCAAATAAGTAAAAGTCTAAATGATTCATCAATAATACTGCAACACACAATGATTAAG